GTCGCGGACCGACTTCCGATTGGCTGGCTAATGGGCTCCACAATTCGGACCTGGTCCTATTATTGGGTGGTGTTACGTCCGTAAGGAATCGCTACGACCATCTCCTGTCCCCGGGGATAAATTATTAAACTGTTAGAGTGGTTGAGAAAACCCAGTAATTGTCCCCGAACGTTAGCCGGACGTTTCCACACTGTGCATACTTGGGTCACCGTAATAAATTAAGTACGAGTCGAGACGTACCACTCGAAATGCAGAGATCTTCGAGGACTTGTCCTTCGAAGATTTCTGAACATCGCGGGGTGTTGCGTCTGGACTATGTCTCCGGCGTTTTCTCACGTTGGAGAAATCGCGCGGTGCCTGGAATTGGCTCAGCACGTGGTAGTGGTGGGAAATTATCCGGACACGTTCGGCATTGGATTTTCACATGGAAAACCCCGAGGACAGGGGGTGGAAACGGGCATCTTAAAAAAGTTTGTGCTGGAGAGCTCGGTGCCAGTTTTAGACAGTCAGTCGTCGAGTCACCTCGTTATAATACCAGTCATGCGAACGGGTATTTTAAACATTTAATACAAATCAGTAAAGATTTTAGTATCGAGAAATCTCTTAACATTTATTTCTTCCTACACCATCGAAGTCCCTATTCCAGGATAAATTCCTTAAATGGATTGACCGAAACAGGGGACAAGAAAGAATTTAGTTATAAATTCGCAACAGTGGACATCGGCAGAATTATTTTCTAGCGTGTATCTAGAGATTCGGAAGATTCTTATCTATAATACAATGCATTCTTTATCCAAGGACCACTTCGAACAACCTTGGTTAACTTTAATTAACGGTTAACTCCAGAAGCAGTGTAGGTAATTGAATTGTTGATTAGAGTTATTCGAAGTTGGTCAAAGTGGCCCTAAATGTGCCCTTCTTTCAACTGTTGGTCAGACGAATTTTCAATCATGCACACATTCATCATTGCAGTGGCAATTAGAATTTTCCATCTGGCGACTAAAAACTATAGCGTCTTTGAGTTCAATTCTTGAAGAATTGTTATGCCTATATTTTGATAACGTAAGGGTACGGTACGCTATTTGTGTTCTTATTAAAAATTATGTTTTTTTGAGGCGAGTGAGTACCGTTTTGGTTTGGAGTCATGCTTATGCAGACGTAATTAACCCTTCGATGGGCGCGTCTTCTAGGCTTACACGAGTGGGTAATTCCGTACACGTGGTATAATCGTATTGTTATTTTGGATTAAATTTTTAAGTAATTGTGAAATATTTGTATTAACGTCTAACATATACAACACAGAATATTAAATACTAGTAGCGATATTTTGATAAAAAGGTGCCTCAGGAAGTAAGTTACCACTCCTACTAATTCTTTTAATTCGGGAACAATGATAAACGTTGTATTGCTGTGAAACGTGACGTTTTTGTGTTTCATTCTACGTTTTTGGAGATTCAATAGCGTGTTCAGCATTTATTGCAGTAGCATATTGACGAAATATTGCGGTTGGTCGTTAACTCATTTTCTGAGGTGACTGTAGTTATACGAATCCAGACACATGGTGACGACGAATCCTCTTGCACTCACTGTTAGTACCTACACGTTACGCCCACCGGATGATTAAAGAATAATACATACGTGGGGAAAATTTTGTCGCAATAAACATGAATCTATTACAAAATATAATATTATAACATAACAAGTATTACGGTACAGTAAAATACAAGAATCATTATGTAAAAAAAATAAAAGTAAAATAAAAGTAATTAAAGATTGTAAAAATTAAAAGTTTTTACAATCTGAAAATAATGGATTTTATTGTAATGTGTGATCGTGTTGAACGATTAAGTAACTTCAAGACATTCTGTCGTTTGTATTGCGATAGAAGGTTGTTTCTTCATTTCCTTCGGGAATCTTTTGCTTTGAACATACACGCAATCTATGTTTTTTAGCAAACAGTTTAAAAAGAAGGTGCACTGCTTTGTATAGACGCTGTTCCTTATCTGGAAGGATCCAAACTCTTGTTTAATTACAGAAATCGAACTATGTATATTCAACAAGTATATGTATATGCACCTACAATAGCACTTCGTAATATATTATATATGTAGTGCACAGTTTTGAAATTTCGTGATAGTTATTATAAAATTATAACTTTAATATTATATTATACTGCAAGTAGGTAGAAACTATTGAAAGATATAAATCGTATAAGATTTGAAAAAACCAAGACGAGTAAAAATGTTCTATTATTGGAGTATATGATGATAAAATGAAACTATAAATATAATCTAAATATAAACTATAATATAAATAAAATCGAAACTATCGCCATTTGATTAAAAAAACAGGATTCACAAGCTTCTGAAAAACCTTGTTATGAAAGCCAGAAAAATATTTGTCAAGCATCTTCGCTGGCTTGTAATAAATCTGCCAGGTATGTCCATTCATTGAAAAGATTACACTGAACATGTGAAAACTGCGCCTCGCAGTGCACGTATCCGCGTACGAAAACATTTTGCGCATTTCAAGGAGTTCCTGGTCGGATTTCGAAGAACAATTGAAGTAAAAATTTTTCAGAAAGAAGACCACCCACCCTTTTCACATTCAAATTCCATTTTCATCGTATACGTACAGGGTGTTCGAGTATTTGCTAAGTAAGATGCTTGAGAACGCAAAATCAAAAAGAGTTCTACACACATTAACGTCACTAACCAATGTTTAATGAGATAAATGCTGCCAAAGATTGTTAGCAAATATTTCTCAAAACTATAGCAGATATTAAAAGGGACTACTACATTCTTATACACGCAAAATTATTCAATTATCAAAAGTATTCAATGCGGTATTCTTATTTTAACGCTAATTAAGGACTGTACGATACAGTTACATAGGTTTCGATATTCACCTATGTTCTTTTCACATAAGTGTTAACATAAGTTTTATTAACCTTGTGTACAGTTCTCTATGGATCCTATCGTTTCACACATCAATCTATACATATAAAATTATAATGGAAAATAATACCATACCACTGTCAAAATAATATAGGCATCAAGTGAAGTAAACCTAATCTGCAATGAAGCAACAGAATATTTGTAAAAAATCTATTTCACACACTATTTCATTTTCAAATAAACACTCGTCCCTTTCCCCGTTTCACCACGAATCACGGCCTAGCTTGTGCAATTATACATCATATATAATCGCCGTACATTCAACTTTAATTTATAGTAAATGAACGAAAAGCTTTCTCGTAAATTCGATGTTTTCTATAAAGATGAAAAAAGCTCGCCCTAATGAAAGACCGTGTATGCGTATACACAGATCCAGTACGATTACGTTTATTAAAGAAACGTCGAAAAAAAATTCTCGACGGCAAAGGGGGGTCGAGGATCCAATCGGCGAACAGTGAAGCTTACTGTCCATGCCAAAAGAATGGTTGATATCGCGGGAGGGTGGCTGGCGTGTGTTGCGTTTCTGGAACAATCGAACTCTCTCTCTCTCTCTCATTCTCACTCTCGAGCACTTTCAATCCCAAAGAAATTGCAAAAACGCCTGGCGTAAGAAAAGAGCCCCAGAATGGACGAGAGCCTGGATGCCCGTCGTCGTCTGCGAGCGTTTTTACGGGGCCGCGTGTATCGTGTCTACGGGGTAAAGAGGGAACGCGGGAGACGGAGAACAGGAGAGAATTCTGTATTCCGTGTGCACTCGGCATACAATTCGTTCGACTGGGGGCGAGGGTGTTAACGAGAATTCGCCCACGTACGCTCGCGCCATATGACGCTTTGACTCACCTCCGTTGTTAAAGCCGGTTCACCCTCCGGACAAACGCATCCCGCCGGTAATTACTATGATAAACTGCATACACCAACAGAGACACGATGACTGGTTTCCCTACGAATTTCATTGGAAATAGAGTTCCTCGGTTTAGTTTCGCCGTGCAACAACGACCGCCATTCCGGCAGAGGGATCGGTCTAGGCTTGTCTAACAATGAAATGGTAAGGGGACCACGATTCTATTTGACAAATTGAGTTAGCCCGATGCTTACGACGAATCGCGTGAATCAGCTCGTTAACCTATCCGGTGGCGGATATTTCATTTCCCCGTGCATCTGTGAACAAAGTGATCTGATGGATGGAATATTTGGCGGACCAAACTTATTAATACGATTGATTGTACGTTTATTGCATGAACAAAAGATAGAAATATTAGGAAAATAAAATAAATTTGGACAAGATTGTTTCCTTGAGAGAGGACAGAACATAAAAATGTGTATATACACGTGGGAGAATTTTATGTACAAAGAAGAAATTTTATGTAAGTAGACTAAAATTACGAAATATAAAATCAAATTCTTATAGCTTACCTCTATTCTTGTGCACAATCCTAAAACTCATTGCGTATTGGACTCCAAAAACTTTTCTTCCATAAATATTCTTGCAAGACTGTTTAAAAGTCTCCTATTTCTATTCTCACCCTATTGTAAAATTTATATTATCTACATATTAATTTTATATTATCATATACATACATACATACATATATGTATACACACTATGATCCTAAAAATGATGAAACTGTAAAACAGTACACGTTTTTGTTTTCTCAATTAATTATCCACACTCTTCAGCAATAAAGTTATAAAAGTATTGTCATTCTGTTACCCGATTAGGACTTCCAGTTTCAAAAATTGAATAGAAGCTTTAGTCGTTGATCGATCAACGATGAAATTTGTCCCGTAACATAGCGAGCAGCAACGAATTCGATTGAAAACAATGAGATTGAGTATAGAAACGTTGGATTATAAAAACAAAAGACAAAAAACAAAAAACAAACATTTCCAAGCTTCTTTTTCAATGTTTCTATGATTAACAAAGTATACCTTGAGAAGCTACTATAATTTATGCTCAAGATCCGATTCGGATAAAATCGTTATACGCTAATACGTTACACGTGATACAGTTTAATAACAGATTTTATTTCTTTTCTGTTGCAGCCCCAGTATACGACCAGGATACCACGCAAGTAGCGGAATACGATGGAGGTACGCACGGTCCACCGACTTTTATTGCACCTAGTCAATTCACACGCACGCCACCGACGTGATGTTAATTGTATCGAACGGCACGTGCCGCCTCGACCTTACTTACAAGCGATTCAATCAATCCTTTCGATGAATATTAAATACATCGTCAACGGAAGCTGATTATCGTGTCATAGTAATTACATTAGTGGAACGCGTTCACGTCGTATTGAATTGTTGAACTTGCCGGATAATCCATTTATTAAGATTCGCGTAAATTACTGTATTAAGTTCATATTAATTTACATATTAGTACTGCTTATTCTCTAATACCATAGAACACCGATTACCCGAATGACGATTATCAGAACATAGAACCAGTCACGACTGTTTTTTGAAAGAATTAGTTTAAAACGAGCAATGGAAAAGATACGTAACATCCATTACTCTTAAACGAATTTAAAGTAAAAATAGTCTAAGATATAAAATTGTAGACGAAGATGATATGTTTCATTTATTCTTGTTGAAGAAAATATGTAATGATAAAGCTGGACAAATGGTGGTCTGGTACTGTTGACATATTTATTTGTACTATTATGCGACCTTTCATGCAATGAATAACCATCTTTCAAATTTACTTTATTTCTAATAAATCGTTTTATAATGTATATTAGACTTTGGTTCTCCTGAAGTGATTATTCAAAAAACCATTTATCCGAACGGATTTGTTTTCCTTTTAGTTCGGATAACCGATGCTCTATTATTGTTATATTTGTATAAATGACTAAATTTTTAGACTATCCGGAGAAAGGCTAAATCTTACTGTTGTATACGTTAGTGACGTCATTTCTAATTTTCTATCTATTCATACTAAAAGTAAAAGTATTAGCCTGTTTTTCTTCTTCAAAACATAAATGTACTACACCAGTGTTTTCGAGGCCATTAATTTCGAAACGTATACTATAAAGATCTTGTTATTAAAAGAATTGGTGGCTATGTTAGAAGTACACTATATTGCATAAACTGCGCTTCAGTATTACACTTACAATTCGCTAACATAATACAAAAGCATGAAAACCACGTCCGTCTTAATCACGCAGTTCCTCATCCTAATCACATACAAATTGAAGGTAGTACACAAAGAAGCAGATTATTCACATTTTACTATTTCTCACCATATCGCTGCACTAATTGTTTGCTGTTATTTAAACTTGATTGTATCAACTCACATTTTTAAACTCACAGCCCCAGCCGGATGCTACTACAACTACCAACGATACGACGAAGGCGACAGAATTATCACGAACGAACCATGCCTGAACTGCACGTGTCACAATCAAATGTTGATGTGTTACCTGAGGGTCTGTCCCTTCACGAAAGCGATCGGTCAGGATTGCAAAGTCGAGAAGCGTCCCGACCAATGTTGTCCCTTGATTACCTGTCCGGAGGTGCCAGTACAACTGTTGACATCTACGACCACCGTGCCAGCGACTTCCGGTTCCACCGCGGTCGGCTTCCACGATAATTATGGTTGCAACGTCAACGACCGATTCTACGCGGACGGTGCTCAATTACCGACCGATCCCCAGAATCCATGCGAATTGTGTTATTGCATCAGAAACAGGACCACTTGTGTCATGCAGGAGTGCACACTGCGTGTGGCTGGGTGTAGGCCAATCTACCAACCCGGCGTGTGTTGTCCGGTCAAATACAATTGCGGTGGGTACCCTGAATAATTGTTTATTAAACCGTTGCAAATCGAATGATGCATTTTACAAATTTTAATGGAGTTTACGCGTCAAAAGTTTTGCAATGTTTCCTTGTATCAGTAATTTTCAATTTAAATTATAATTGAAATAATTAATTACTTTAAATTTCTCACTACACATTGCACAGCGAGGAGGATTATTTCAGAAAGATAATTTTACTGTTCGCGATTTTAACCCTTAACTACAGACCACGAGTCTTTGAGATAGGGCTGAATTTTAAATTGACTGTCACAACCTTGTGGAGAATTTGGGCAGCTCTAGCGTTCGAGTATCTTCAATTGACAGTTAGTGGCACACTATTTCCAAAATGGTAAGGAAAAATAACATTCAGCTGGTTATTGAAAGTATTACAAAGTACTCATTGTGTCGGATTATTCATCTCTGAAACGAGTCGTCTGTAGTTAGGTGTTAAACTGTAAAATCATAAATACATTGGGGATAAAAAGTAGACTATTTTGAAAACTCTGGATCGCAGGAAGATTCGGTTTAATTGAAAGCTTTGTGTAGATGAATGAAGAAGAAATTATAAAGGAATATTATTTCAAATAAATTAGCGTGGTAATGGGTCGTCATAAAGTATGCAACGACATTATGGAATTTTTATGCTTGAACAGAATACGACGAGGAACTTGCAACGACGGTTGAACCAACGCCTGGCCTCATGATGACCACCACATTGCCACCTGGAGCATCGACCCAATGTTACCACGAAGGCAAGGTTTACGAAGACGGAGACCTGACCCATTCGACGCAGCCATGCCAATTTTGCTACTGCTTCCGAGGTGCTATCGCTTGCGCTGTACAACATTGTGGAACTCCCATGGAAACGCACGGAAAGAATTGCACTGCTTTACCACCGCCGGAAGGAAAATGTTGTCCGGAGACGTACGAATGCGGTAAGAGTCTTCGTCATTTCATCCGCTTTAAGTAATAAAATTAATTGTCCATGAAATTCAATTTACGTTAACATTTATCTTATAGATGAAGATGGTCAAAGTGAGCTGGTCACATTCTCAGAAAATGAGCAATCTACCGAGGAACCCGTTCTACAAACAACGGTACCGAGCATAAAGGAAACTGAAAAGGAAGAGGAAACTCCTCAAACGACCGTGGAATCTTTCCCTGGCTATGATAACGTAATTCCGGAGGTTCATAAAGAAGTAAGCACCGAAGCTGCACCGAGTACTGAAGAACCCAAGAAAGAAACACCAGAAGAGACCACATCGCTTGAAGGAGCTGCTCCAGTGTCTGAAACAACTGTGAAAGCTGCTTCGGAGGAATACAGTACCGAAGGTCCCCTTTCTGCAACGGAAACGACTCCAGTAGCCGCATCTACTGAACCTGCTCAGAAAGTTGAAAGTGAAAAAACGGAAACTCCTCTTATAGAGGAAAGGATTCAAGAAGTGACTGGTAAGCCAGCAGAGGAGGCAACTCAAGGACTAACGGAAGCTTCAATTCCTCAAGGACAAACAGAATCGTCTGCATCAACAGCGGAAGAGCAACCTAAAGAAGCAACAACCGCGGTAGAGGAACAAAGTCCAGTTACCGAAGCAGCTGTCCCAGAGATGGAATACACTGAAGGCACGCTAAAGGAAAAATCTACCGAGGTGCCAAGTACTGAAAAGTCTGCAGAAGAAGTGAAACCGACGGAAGAAGAAAGTTTGGAACACGAGCCAAGTGTCACTGAAGCTGTTATTCCTGAAGAAGGCCAGGCAACCGAAGCAGCTGAAAAATCTACCGAAGCACCGGAAATACCAAGTGAAGAGAAGACAACATCATCTGATATAGCCCCTGAAATGTCTACGGTTAAGAGCCTTGGTGAAGAACAAGTGACAGAAACAGCTGAGAGGACGGACGCTCCTGCGGTTTCCGAACCGGAACAGAAAATGAGTACAGTGGCAACGATCGAAGGTAAACCTGACGAAATCGCTACTCCAAAGGCAGAAATGCCTACTGAGAAACCTGTACAGGGAGTTCCAAGCACTGAAGTAGTACCTAGCGAAGAGGGACAAGAGACAGTGCGACCAGAAGTCAGCTCTGAACCACAGCCCACAGAAACAAGCATCTCTCCCGAACATGGTGAAGAACAAGTTACAGAAGGAACAACTGAAAAGAAACCAGAATTGGAAGTGTATGATCACAAGGCTCCTGAAGAACTACCTGGAGTGGTTCCTAAGAAGGAGGATATGATTCCCACTGAAATGCCTATGGTCCAGGAGCCTGCTGCAACAGAAAAGCACGTCGAAGAGGAAGGAGCCCCAGAAATTCCAGCACAGGGTCCAACCGGTATTTCTGTCACCGAGCGAGTACCTGAAAGCAAGGCAGAGGACAAAGAATCTGTTACTGAGGTCCAAGTAACGGAAGGTTATGTCCCCATGAAACCGCCAGAATACCACGTACCTGGTAGTCTTGTCACTGAAGCTCCTGAGAAGGTTCCAACCACATACTTGCCACCTTCACGAGAAACAACAGTCGCTCAGGAAGAACACAAAACGGTATCTAGTGAGGAAGGAACGACAACTGTAAACCAGGTACCAGAAAAAGCGGCTACTGAAGTTCCAGCAATTGAAGAACAGGAGAAGACTGAGATTCCATCGGCCACTGAAGCCGGTCTGGGTGAAAAAGAGGTAACTGAAGGTGCTCCTCAGAGTACTGAGGTGAGCCCCAGTTTAGAAGCTTCAACGCAACAGGCCCCACAGGAACAGCAACAGACTGAGAAACCAGTGGTCCCAGAAGAAGGTAGCGTGGAGACTACATCCGCCGAGGTTCCATCAATAAAAGAAACTTCAGTTGAAGAGTTACCAACGAAGGGACTTGCCATAGATGAATCTGGAGAAACATCGTCTGAGGAAGTCAGTGAGGAAGTACAGCCGTCCAAGGGCGAATCGAGCGAGGAAGAAATGGAACCTATAGAACATCCCTCTGAAAAACCGGGTCAGACACCTGTTCCTGAAGTACAGCAAACCGAGCAACCAACCGTAGAAGAAGGAAGTACGGAAAGCAAGGAAGCTACTGAAAGTACGTCAGGTCAATCCACCGAAACTCCACATGCTGAAGTATCCACGGAAGCTGGTGTAACTGCAGAAGAGAAACCTGTGAGTGAAGGAGAAACACCGGTAGAACAAGGTACAACAGCACCGGATCAACTCGGTGAGAAGGTAGGTGGGGAAGCATCTGGAGAACAAGTAACAGGAAAACCAATTTCTGAGGAACAAGCTCCTACTACTGTTAAGGCAGTCGAAGGTGGAGAGGGAACTACATCGCAAATGCCAGTTAGTGAAGAAGCAAGTGAGAAGCCTGTTACAGAAGAAATTCCGAAAGGAACAAGTGCTCCGGAAATCGAAAGTTCACCAGTTACTGAAGAGACGAAAGAGGGTGAGAAACCAACGGAGGGCACTTTAATGGTAGAAGTTCATCCAACAGTCGTTCCGGTTCAAGAAATGAAGCCTATAGAAATGGAATCCTCTGAAGAAACTCCTGTTGAACAGACTGAAGGACCGATGACCAAAGAACCATCCACTGAAACCGTTCAAGAGGAACAAAAGACGGAAGAACCGATGAAAGAAGAAGCTCAAACTGAAGCCTCAATGCCTGAAGTGCCACCGACTGAGAAGTCAGTTACTGAAGGAGAAGTAGAGAAACAAGAGACTCAGGCTCCACTTGAGGAACAGAAACCAACGAAACCTCCTATTACTGAAAGAAAAGAAGATGAAGAAGGTGTGGTGAAACAACCAGAAGAAGAACAGAAAGAGGGACCACAAGGCACTCAGAAACCATCTCTTGAAGAAGAGAAGCCAACTGAAAAGCCTACGGAAGAGCAAGCTGTACCCGATATAATGGCGGGAGGAGAGAAACCTACGGAAGAAGGAAAGACTGAACAACCTGGTGAAGAAGAACCTGTCGAGAAGGAAAAACCAACTGAGGGTTCTGTGGAAGAAATGAAACCTGCTGAGGTGGAAAAACCAACCGAAGGTTCTATTGAAGAAGGAAAATCGACTGAAGCACCTACAATAGAAGTGAAACTCGGTGAAGAAGGAAAGCCAACCGAAAAACCTGTTGAAGAAGGTACGCCAACCGAAGGACCTGTTGAAGAAGAGAAGCCTACCGAAAAACCTGTTGAAGAAGGTAAGCCAACCGAAGGACCTGTTGAAGAAGAGAAGCCTACCAAAAAACCTGTTGAAGAAGAAAAGCCAACAGAAGGACCTGTTGAAGAAGAAAAGCCAGTCAAAGAGCCTGTTGAAGAAGGTGAGCCAACAGAAGAACCTGTTGAAGAAGGTAAGCCAACAGAAGGACCTGTTGGAGAAGAAAAGCCAGCTGAAGAACCTGCTGAAGAAGGTAAGCCAACCGTAGGACCTGTGGAGGAAGAAAAGCCTGCTGAAGAAGATAAGGCAACCGAAGAACCTGTTGGGGAGGAAAAGCCAGCTGAAAAACCTACTGAAGAAGGAAAGCCCACTGAAGAAACTGCCCAGGAAGCACAACCAACCGAAAGACCTGCCGAGGAAGGAAAACCAACCGAAGGACCTGCTGCGCAAGACAAACCAACTGAAAGACCTGTTGATGAAGTAAAGCCTACCGAAGGACTTGGTGACGAAGGAAAGTCAACCGAAGCCCCTATTGAGGAAGAAAAACCAAGCGAAGCACCTACTGAAGTTGAAAAACCGACTGAAGGATTTGCTGAGGCGGAAAAACCAACCGAAAGACCTGATGAAGTCGAACAACCAACGGAAGGAGTTATGGAAGTTGAAAAACCCACTGAAAAACCTGCTGAGGTACCAAAATCCACCGAAAAACCCGCTGTGGAAGAAAAGCCCACGGAAGGACCGGCTGAGATAGAAAAGCCAATTGAAGGATTTGCTGGAACAGAAATACCAAGTGAAGTAGAAAAGCCAACTGAAGGATCAGGTGAAATAAAAGAGCCGACTGAAGAACCAGCTGAAGCAGAAAAACCAAGTGAAATAGAAAAGCCAACTGAAGGGCCTGCTGAGGTAGAAAAGTCAACCGAAGGACCTGGTGAGGAAGCCATGCCAACAGAAGAACCTGCACAAGAAGCAAAACCCACTGAATCAACTGCTGAAGAAGGAATATCGAGTGAAGTACCCATGGCAGAAGAAATACCAACTGAAAGACCCATTCAGGAAGAAAAACCATCTGAACAGCCTGTGGAGACAACCAAACCAACCAAAGATGAAGAACCACTCAAGGAAGAAAAAGCAACCGACGAATCAGTAACACAATCGACTGAAGCACCTACGGTAAAAGAAGGAAAACCTTCTGAAGAAGAGATATCATCTGAAGAACCTATGGTAGAAGAAATGCCTGCTGTAGAGGAAAAATCAACTGAATTACCTACTAAAGAGGAAAAACCAACCGAGGCACCTGTTGTAGAAGAACAGAAACCAACTGAAAAGTCTCCGGAGGAAACACTAATAGAAGAACCTGTTGAGGAACAAAAACCTATTCAAGTAACAACTGAAATGCCTACGGCCGAAGAAAAACCAACTGAAGGAACTGGTAAAGTCCCTAGTGAAGAAGCAGAGGCGACTGAGAAAGATTTAGAAGAGAACAAGCCAACTGAAGGTTCTCTTGAAGAAGAAAAGCTTGGTAATAAAGAAGAACCAACTGAAAAGCCAATTGAAGAAGGAAAACCAACTGAAAAACCTGCTGAAGAAGAAAAACCAGCTGCGGAACAAGAACCATCTGAGAAGCCCTCTGAGGAAGAGAAACCCACCGAACAGCCTATTGAAGGGCAACCAGCTGAGGCCACAACTCCTCAAGAAAGTGTAAGCCAGATACCAGTGTCTGAGGAAATTCCCACACAAGGTCCAATGGTTGAAGAGAAACCATCTGAAGGTGCTGAGCAAGCGCCTACTGAAATTCCTGGCGGTGAAGAATCTGGTAGTACACCTGGAGCTAAAGAACCAGAAACATCGACTGAGACCTTGAAAGAAATACCTGAGGCTCCCACAACCGTTGCTGGTGAAGAAATTTTACCCACTGAAAAATATCAGACAGAGGCTGCACCACAAGAGAAACCTACTGAAGCTCCTACTTCTCATGAAGAAGTACCTACTGAACCCACTAAAGCAATTCCAGAACACGAAGGAGAGAAATTACCTGAAGAAGGCACTGAGAAACCAGAATTACCAACCGAAGCTGTAACAGAGGCTGTTCTTCCGGAAGAAACAAGTGATGTTAAAGCACCAGAGGAAGGTATTAGTACAGAGACACCTGCAGTATCTACCACCGCACCAATTTCTGAAACATCTAGCGAAACTTCTGCAGGTCCAGAAGAAGAACACAAGGCCTCGCTTCCTGAAGGAGCTCAGACGGAAGAAATTCCATCGAAAGAACCCGCTACGACACAACTTCCAACAGAAAAAGAAACAGAACCTTCGGTCGAAGAAAAAGTTCCAGAAATATCCACTATGGAACCAACTAAGGAGGTCGAACCACATCCAGAAACTACACCACAAGCAGAAATGGCACCAAAAGGAACAAGCGAACAAGCTGAGCAATCTACAATGGCGGCCGAAATGCCACAAGAAGAATCAACATCAGAATACCCATCTCCTCGACCACCGGCAATTCCAGGAGAAGGCAACTGTCTCGTCGAAGGACAGTCGTACAGTAACAACTCCGCCGTTCCTCCTGCGAATCCGTGTCAACTTCGGTGCCTTTGCGTTAGTAGTATCATCCAGTGTGATCTTGTTGAGTGTCCTCCGCCCCCGGCCCAATTGTCCAACTGCATGCCGATCCACACCAGCAAAGATGCTTGCTGCCCAATGTATACATGTGATTCAACGCCTACTGCGGTATTAGAATCCGATAACCACATGATCGAACACGGAACTCCTAAATACGAAACGAAGGAAGAGCAGAAGACTGTATCGCCGGTTCTAGCGGAGGTTCCACCTCAACAGGCCACGGAGGCGCCCGTCGAGGGTGTCAAAGGACCCGAAGAAACAGTTGCACCTGAATTCGCCGGAGAGCTTCAAACAACACCGAAATCAGTTGAGCCTGAAGCTGCACAACCAACCACCGTAGCCGAATCTACTAAACAACCTGAAGAACATACTGTCAGTTCTATTACTCCAAAGGTAGAGACTTCAAGTCAAATGCCTTCAGAGGTACCGAAGGAAACACCAGAAGTACCTAGCACCGAAGAACAGGAAGTAACGAAGGCTCCATCCACTGAGCAACCATCTGAAGGACAAACTCTAGGCGAACAAAGTCCAAGTGAAGAACCAACTGTTATGACGACAGAGACAGGTCAGGAAGAGCAAACCTCCACCGAAATTGGAAAAGAAGCGGCGGCGCCCACTACTGCAAAACCAATGGCTGAAGAAACAACTGACAAGCAGCAGATGCCTGTGATGGGTGAAGAGGCAACCGTTTCTCCAGCAATTCTTGCAGAAGGTGTGAGTAAAGAGCCTGAATTATCGACTCCTTCGGTAGAAGATCAACGGCCAGTCACTGAAGGCCAAACACCAGAGGAAACGGAAGGAACTACTCCTATATCGGAAAAACAACCTGAAGAACCTGCTGAAGAAGTAGAACCTAAACCAACTGAACAACAACCATCAGAAGGAGAATTACAAACTGCTAAACCGGGAGAAGCTGTAACTGAAGTGCCGTCTCCGGGTGTAGAAGTATCTACTCCAGAAGTGGCTGTTAAAGTTGGGGAAGAAGAAACAACACCAGTAGAAAAAGAACCTGCAGAAGGCAAACCAGTTACTGAAGGAATGGGAACCACAGAAGCGCCAGTGTCTGGAGAAGTTACTGTTCCTGGTACGGGCAAAGAAGAACCAAGTGGTACTGAAGCACCCACGGAAGAGGCAATGACACCATCGGCTGAAACTCAAACTAGCGAAAAACCAGTTCCTTCTGAAGAAGGACAAACTGTACCTGTTGAAATTGCACAACCTTCGGTACCTTCTGACGAAGAACAAACCAAAGAAACGCCTGTGACTAAGGATGTAGTTAAGGGAACTACAGAAGGTATAGAAGATGTCACTCAGGTTTCCACGCAACAATCTGAGAAACTGCCTGAAGAACAACTGCCAAGTTCTACCGAGATTGCTGAAGTTGTAACTGAACAATCAATTGAACCCAAAGGAACGACAGAGCAGGAAGGAGTTACGGAAGAACAGGCTACTGCGATTCATATGAAGCCTGCAGAAGCTGCTTCACAGCCTGGACTCGAGGAACAGCAGCCTGAGAAAACACCGTCCGTGGAAGAACAGACTCCTGAGTCTGTGTCGCCAGCTGAAGAAGGAAGTACGCCATCAATGGTGTCTCAGGAAGAAATCACAGCAACTCCTGAAGCTACCACTGTGAAAACAGTTTCCGAGCCTGTTCAGCCTGAAGAAGGAAGTGAGCAACCAACTGAAAAGGAACCAATAATGCCAACTGAGGAAGCTGTTACCGAAGAAACTAAGAAACAGCCTGGTCCAGAGCAACCAACGACTGAACTAGCTACTACTCCAGTTGAAGGCGAAACACCACCTGAACAAGGAGGTGAGAAACCATCGGCCCCAGAACAGGTTCCAGAGCAACCAATGACAGAAGCTCCAGGTATTTCTGTCAAAGAAGGAACGGAAGCACCAACTGAACAAGAAACTACAGGACCAGTGACTGCTGGAGGAGAACAAAAACCTGAAGAGGGAACCCAGAAACCGAGTGTAGACGAGGGTGTAACACCTACTGAGCCGACTGAAATTGTTTCAGAAAGTGAAGGAATTACTAAGGCAGGTGAAGAGCAACCTAGCGAATCCACTTCGCCGACAGTAGTAGCTGGTTCAACATTGGCACCTGAAGGTTCTTCGATGCATCCTGAACAAGGAATGGAAGCACAGAAACCTGTCACCGAGTCTGAAGGTGTGACGGAAGAAAAGGCACCAATTACTACCGCTACTCCAGGCGAAGTTAGTTCGACTGAAGAATCTACGATGGGAGTGAAACCATCAGAAGGCATGCCAGAAGTGACTCAACAAACTGAGGAGCCATCAGTGGAGAAAGCAACAGATAAACCTGCGATGGAAACAGAGAAGGAAGAAGGACAGACAATTCCGGTTACTGAGACTCAAGGAATAACAGAAGCTACGTCAAAGGCACCTGGAGTTAGTTCGACCGAAATACCAGAGAAAGAAACACCAACCGAAGCGCCAAAACAAGAGCTTCCAGGGGAACCAGAAGTAGAAGCTGCAACTGAGGTGCCAGTGAAGACTACTGAAATTCCTGAGAAAGAAACACCAGTCCTTGCTGAAGTACCAGAAAAAGAGACTCCAACCGAAGTGCCTGAAGAAAGACCGTCAACCGAGGCTCCTGAGAAGATAACTCCTGCTGAAGGACTTCCGGATAAGGAACTTCCAGGTCTAGTAGAAAAAGTTACAACAGAACTGCCAGAAAAAGAACTTCCTAGTGAGACACCTGAAAGTGGACTGTCCACCCAAGCCCCGGAAAAGATTGAACCTGTTGCAGTAACTGAAAGGATTCAACCTGAAGAAGAGGTGCCTACTGACGTACCACAGGAAACTGTTCCTGCGAAACCTTCTGAAGAACCGGAGAAAACTACTGAGGAACCAGAAAAATCTTCTGAAGAACCGGAGAAAGCTTCTGAAGAACCAGAGAAAGCTACTGAAGAACCAGAAAAATCTTCTGAAGAACCAGAGAAATCTTCTGAAGAACCAGAGAAATCTTCTGAAGAACCAGAGAAAGCTTCTGAAGCACCAGAGGTAGCTGTTCCTGGAGAGCAGAAACCTGTAGAAGGTGAACAGCAAACACTACCATCCGAAGAAGAGACTCCACAGACTACAGAGGGTGTTCTTATTAAGGGAGCTATACCCAGTGCAACCACACCTACTGAAGTAGAAGTAAAGTCGACCGAGGCTCCAGTTACTGAAGACGAATTAGTTCAATCAAGTACACCGGCAAGTGCAGCCGAAGAAGCAACTTCTCACGAAGACCAAGCATCATCGACCGAAGGTTCAGAAATTCCTGTAGTACCCAAGGACGAACTTACAACGCAAGAAACTGTTCCAAGCCAGCCAGTCGAGGAATCTAGCACAGAACCCGTAGTCGAGACATCAACGAAAGCAGAAAAAGCACCGGAAACAGAGGAGACCCCAGAACATCCAATTCAAATGTCGACGGAAAAGCCTGAAGAAAAGAGTACCGTGGAATCAGTACTCCCTGTAGATCACGAAGAAGAGGATGTTACAACGAAACCTGAAGAAGTTCATCCATCAACTGAACCATCCGTTGAGGAACATGTAACAAAAGTTGATAAACTTCCAACGGAACCAACACTTACGGAATCAACGGAAGAAGGACAAGAACAACCCGGTGAAGGTTTACCACACACCGACGAACCTACTTTATCAGAAATTGCTCCAACGACTGAAAAGGCGGAAGATGTCGAGGGTCAATTACCAGTCGGAGTCGACGATTACCTTCAACCAGTAAATCACACGTATGAAGCTACCGAAGAACCAGCAGAACCTGCCATTCCTGAACAACCATCGAGTACCTTGACACCCGAATATCCTGATCAACCAGTGTCCGGAGAGGATAATCCTCATTTCCCACCGCATGGCGGTAGTTACCTGAACCCTGACGAAGATTACGACGAAGACGATCAAGCTATCTACGGTCCAGGCACTTGTCGATATGGCGGCAAGGTTTACGTATCGGCGCAACAGATACCAAGGGACGATCCATGCGACTTCTGCTTCTGCTTCAGAAGCGACATCATTTGCCTCCAACAGAGCTGTCCGCCACCGATTCGAGGCTGTCACGAGGAACCGATCAGTGGCTTCTGCTGTCCTAGATACGAGTGTCCTGTCTCGATGGCCACGTCACTGAACATCACCACGACCACAACAACAACCACGACCACGTTACCTCCACACTTCCACGCTCACGCGTACAAAGGAGCCGCGAAACGAAGCGGCTGCCAGATCCGCGGTCAAGCGTACCGCGTTGGAGAAGTCATTAGATCCGCATCAGGACCTTGCCTTCAGTGCACGTAAGTTAACCTTTGAGTATGGGACTTCACAATATTTCACCATTCGAGTTTGCGTCTGTGTGATCTTTACGGTAATGATTTGGTTTCTTACGTTTAGTCTTTGCTCGTCTGAAGTTTTTAACACTTCAAAGAGGACGGTTAGAAAAATTTAGATACCCTTAAGAATTGTGTTTATCCCCTTAAAACACAAGTACACTTTTATTACCATGATATGACAAACGTGTATAATGGATCAGTCTCAAAATCTGGTTGTCGATCCATGTAGTATTGGGTGTTATGATTGGAACACCCTTTTTCTACATTTCTCTGAAACATTATCATTAAATAAATCGATTGAATATTAACTTTCAGATGCGGAGGCGATGGTAACATGAAGTGTGATCCACGAGTGTGTAGCCCGGAGCCTATGCTGAGGCAGATGATCGCGGCGGCCACGGCGAGAAGGAGGAGATGAGCCGGCCAACATGATCCCGGGGATCCGCTGAAGAGGAATAGACACGAGGAAGCCTAGAGGAGGATCAGTGTTGTATAAAAGTGAATTTAAAAGAAATATTCTAAACTATCTAAATGTCGCAGAACACAGACAATAATGTGCTTCGGCGTACACGAACTGAGTGGCCAAAACGTAAACGTTTATATTATAATATTATACTATGTTATATAAAGAGAGGAGAATTAAAAAAAGAAGCAGGAGGAAAGAGAGATAGGAAATAAGGATAGAGCACGAGAGAAATAGACCGATCGGGACGGTGAAACGAAAAATGGACATTAAACGATTTAAAAAAAAAAAAGAAAAGGCGAGAATGGAATTTAGCTACAAGGTTTGTTTTCTGGTGTGCCAAACGTGAGACGGAACGAAGGAACCGGTGGAACAAGAAACGGGACAGTGGAGAATTATTTCGTGATAGTTCCGCTGTTCCACGCCATTTTTTGTACGAGTAGAAACGACGATTGCGGAAGAAGAGAGGAGATTATGGGAAAAATGTTGCCGAACGTACGAGACTTATGACTGTGCCTTCGTCAGTGCTGAAAACCAGCGGCACTACTTTCATTTCGTGGCAGCCAAACCGCGTCCGACTTCGGCCACGATCATCGTCGTTAGAGCTTTACGCCTCGGGGAATTGTTATTAGGACTTCGAAAAAATGAAAACAAAATCGGTGACGGGAAAAACAAACGATAAATGCGTTACGGTGAACGTGACTAAGCGAACAAAAAATGAAAAAAAAAAGAAAATGCGATCATATTGGTACAGGTCGAACACGATTTCTTATACACACAGTGACATTGTAACAGCAATCGAGGATAGTACGCGAGACAACCGGAGGAGTTGTTTGTTTAAACAAAACAAAAAAAAACTTTTGCGTCATTCTTCTTTTATCCTTACGAAGAAAATACAACTCTCCGGTGTCCCTCGTACGATCGAGCGTATCAAAGCGCCCCTGTACACGTTGCTCTTGTAATGCCACTGTTTGAAACTAGAACGACGATGATCCTACGCGCGATCGATGCAGATCCAAATCGTTCCCTTGGCTAGCACGTGTTGTGCGCCAACGATCAGTCCACATTTGCTCACGTCTGCTGGCGTTTCAAGCGCGCTCGGACGCGATCGGTTAAAATCCAAAAACACCGTCGCAAACTACGTCGCTTCCACGAAACTAAGTATCTATCTTTTGCGTGGCGCGGATCCACGAAGCTTAACGGGGCCGTATTTCTTGTTTCGCTCGCCTGACGGAAGAGTCGCTGTTATCGCGGGCCGAACATCCGTGCAATAAAACGATCGCGTTCGAGTGCGCCGTACGTCTACATATGTGCGTGAGTGCGTGTTTGTGCATGGTACATTTATATGTTGAGAGAGGAGAGGAGAAAAGAAAAAGAGAAAAAAAAAATGATGAAAGAAAGACACGACGAATGGTACGCGTATCTCAAAGCTCAAACAGCGGCTCGCGCGGAGGACCGATCGCGAGAATTTGCTTCTCCGGCGAGCTGGCGTCATATATATATACATACAAATATATATATAAATATAAATATAAATATAAATATATACATTTATACGATTCTTTGTATGCACTGTACCCTCCTAATAATTAATTACTTAAACGATGTTTCTATACATTTGTACGAAAGTATAATTATCCACGGCGAACGATTTTCGTTCCACGTTCCTCCAGTCTCAAAGTGTCGCGTGATCGCTAATATACTCCGCTTGGATTCAAGTTACTCCAAGTTGACAGCCGCGATATTATCGGTATACAGTCAATTAAATCTGATACGAGATCCACCGTGCTGAATACGTACACGGGAGGGGGCAACCGAACGTACATAATGGGTAACGTCACGCTTCGAGACTCCGGGACCTGGAACTATTTTAGGCGTAATTTTGAATCGAGCGCTACTATCGTCACACAGAATACTGTGCATACTGTCTCTGTATTTATGATTCGTGTGAAGACGACAACGCCAAACGCCTGTCTTCCTGGTATCAGCGAAAAGGAGAAGAACCGCGAGTTATCTCTCCCCCTTCTTCTCATTTTTGTACGCGTTCGTTGATTTAGCTCGTCTCTGTGGAAGAATATTGTCGCGAGAATACGTATGGAATAAATGTGTTTCTACACGTGGAAACGATAAACGAAACTGTGTCAATTGAATTCGAAGAGGACGCGACCGCGGTGTGCTTCCCAACGGTAACTCTCCCGATCGTGATACAAGCGGCCATACTGTTACCGCCACTGTCCCGAGGATTCACGCGTTTGCATATACAGGGTGTAACAAAAATGTTGTCCGACCCGGACAGGGGATACTCGGGGGTTGAATTGGAACAAGTTTTTCCTTAGCAACAATTTAATCTGAGGCTTAGTTACAGAGATATTAACGAAAAACCCCGACCAATCAGAGCGCGAGTTTGCCAGCCGAGTTCCCACGGTAACGCTGCCTACGAGTCGCAGCGCATAGCCACCGCTAAGGCGGGAACTTGGCTGGCAAACTCGCGCTCTGATTGGTCGGGGTTTTTCGTTAATATCTCGGTAACGAAGCCTCAGATTACATTGTTGCTAAGGAAAAACTTGTTCCAATTCACCCCCCGAGTACCCCATTTCCGGGTCGGACAACATTTTTGTTACACCCTGTATACACATCGTCGATACTAAAGCTGAAACATTTCTTCCAAATAGAATGCATGTTAGCCCCGTGTATTTGTTGTTTGCTACATAAATTCAAAAGAAAATCTCCCACTCTTTCAAACGAGTAACAGTTTAATAGACGCTCGTGTTCAGTCAAACGGTCGGTGATCCGAGACATCCGATCGATAAAGATTCGCGGGACAATCCTGCAACATTTATAGTCTACTTTGTACGATCGATACAGTCAGTTTAGATCCCTCAAACGCCCGGATTAACTGACGTTTATAATGTACATTTCACACAGTCGAATGGTCACACGCACAAATAAGCTCGGTTGGAGAGACTTGTAAATGGCAAAAAAGAAAATACAATCTCGATCTTTGAAGCGCACAAATAATCACTTTTTTACGAGACACGTCACGCATCTTTACAGTCATTCAAGTTACCAACACAAAAAGGGCTTCCTTGATACGTGAATAAGCACGAACACCATTAAACGTATACTTCCATTCGATCGACTGATCGTGATTAGGTACTTATTTAATAGCATCGGTTCTTCCCAGGCAAAACGATGCTAGCAATTAGTCGAGCCTAATATTTATCTTAAATATCCAGCACCACTCATAGCGATAGTGTACTGAAAGTAATCGAGTATCCGTATGTTACGCCGGTACGTTTTATATGATAGGTATACATGTAACACTAACGTAAGATGTATTAATTATGGTGAACGCATAGGATGCATGTAATTAATAACGGATGATGCTGGGGCCCAGTGTTGATGAAATGACGCGCCTCTTGTCAACCACGACGATCCACGAGACTTTATATATACACACATAAACCTATATAATATTTATGCACAGAATGACCAATTTTCATCTGGTGCCAATAGTCTTCGAGCAACAGTGTCCTTCGATTAATAATTTAATACTGAATGAGAGCTGAGAGGATTAAAATTGATCATGCAGTGAATATAGAATCCAATATGGCGCTCAGTACGCAAATATACTCGATGCTCGTAATGGATTGTTTCGGACGTTTCTTTCTTCCATTTTCTTTTTCTTTTTTTGCTTTTAATACTCGATCTATGACCACCAGTAACAATTATTCCGTTTTTTGTTCTCAACATAATCCGTTATCGTATGCCGCGTATAATAATAATATGTGATACACGAAGAAACGAGCGTGCCGGGAATATTCTCGGCGGTACCGAATGTACGGAAGTAGACTAGTTTTTTGACAGTACGTGCTAGTATAAAGTGTCCTTTTATATGAATAAACGATTTTGTATGTCAAGCTTTTTCTACCTTCTGTGACCCATCCTCGTAGATACAACGATATAAATTATTCAAGTTAACAATTGTTTTTCAAATATGATTTCACTTTTCGGCGATGCGATTCGTATGAACAATTTTTGAAGAACTTACAAGATGACATTCAAATTCGATAATTGATGACAATGAATAATTATTTATCACAGTGATTTCGATAAATTTTTTCCCTTTCATTGTTACTTACCTCACTAATTAATGTTTAATTCGATAAACACATAAAAGAGAAATAATATTTCACTTCCATTATTTTAAGGTAGTGTTTCGTAAATATAAAAGGAATCGTTTAGTCAGAAGCATACGCTTCTTCTATTCTTTCTAAATAATTACAGTATTCTTAAATACTTAATAGTTCAGTTCTCGATTATTTATTCTGACTCAACGATAGAAGACATTTCAGCAATGTTATAGTTAATTGTATTCTCGTCAAAGTTAATTGTATTCCAGAATTTCTTTTCAGCAAAGTTGTTGCTACATGTCATGCTTATATTCCTTGGGCCTGCTATCCTCAAAAAACGGAACCTTTCGTCCTCATGGTTCAATGCCTTCCATTTAGCATGCCCAATTTTTGGTTTCCTATAGCATTTGTAAAAATTGTTTATTATAAAAACATTTCAAGAATACACAATTATAAAAAATTGAATATAAACTAAATGGTTTTAATAGAAACAAATTACCACCTCCTTGGAAAATGACAATGTGGTATGAAGTTATTAAAATTTATAACTATTACAGAACCTCGAAAACGGAGAAATAAATAATTTTATCTGATGCTTACCCGTTAATAGCGAACGAAATATAGAAATCGACTAGAAGCTTTTGCATCCTTAAGTCCTCAGGCTTTGTAGTGTTCGCTATCTGCGTATTAAAGATGAGAAATGCGTCATCGGCATGACTGACACCTAATGAAAATTATAAGTTCATTAGCAATAATTACTACCTTCTTTAGATAATTTTATCTATTAGAGTAACTAGCATAAAGATATCTAAGAAATACTCAAAAGACGCCCACAATATGTAAAACATGATAACTCTACAAATACAGAATGTACGTCTATAAAGTACAAATTGAAATATCTACACCGTCTAAAATAAAAGCATAGAAGAAATGAGAGTAATAGGTGAGACGAGCGGAAGCGGAGGTCCAAGATAGGGAAAGGGGGTGTGTGTGTGTGGACATGCGGGGGTAGATATAAGAAAATAGAAACTGTAAGTGCGTAGGGTAAGCGAAGTTCTTAAGGAGCGAGGAAAGTAGGAGAAAATCCCCCTAAGGGAATCAATAAAGTTTTATATATAAAAGAAAAGCAGAAAATTCTGAAAAAAATACCGAAATTTCTATCGGAGTTGCTCAAAAATTCGCTTAAGCTGTGCGTGGCTCTATATGTGTAATAGTAAGCCCAGACTGGGCTCTTGTTAACTGCGGCCTGCAGTCTGACAGCTTTCTCAAAGTCGGAAGAAAACAATCGATCACCGATCATGTGTATCAACTGTCTCGTCGTATGTCTAGAGATCTCTTTCGATCCCAGATAATGCTTCCGGGCTTTTTCCGCCACGTCTTTGTGCTGGCTGAGCGGTATGGTATTGTTATAGTCGAGCAAATATGGCGCAATATCATCCCAATTATCATTCAGGTGCTTTAGAAGTTTGTCGTCGGCTACGAATTCTGCACAAATAATACTTCTCGTTTACAACGAATGAAAGATAAGATTCGAGATTCTTCTGAGAGATAAAATACCTGCCGCTGGATACAAGCCTTCCTCGGAAACGACTCCGGATATCCATGGCACGTCCATCAACTTGCCTTGACGTATGAGCTCGATTGGACTGTCAGTGATAAAGGGTTTTGGACACTTTTGATGTTCGATCACTGTCCCGAACGGTGTGAAAGGGTTGTATAACCAAAACTACGATTCAAGTAACATTTTCACTATGTGCACTAGAGGCCAACATTTTTTAATAATTCGGCAATTCTTAAGAAAACTACGTAGTTCAGAAATGTTCTTCTAACACTAAGTTCATGTGTTTCAGAATGATTATGGAAACATTTGTCTCCTAATTTAATACATCTGTCGGGAAGGTCTTCTCTTTATTTAACTTATGCTATAATGTGTTTACTTTTTTCTTTAACTTGCAATATGACTGTCGCTCAACTCCTTGTTCATTAAAATCTTCTTTTTAATATAGACATGACTGGGGAACACAACAGAACTTTCCGATAGATCTAATATTTATAGCTCATAATTTGCGGTAAGTAATTCATCGAATAATTCCAAAGTTTTAGCCTGCAATATAGCGTACATAGGTATTACATAATTTCCGAAGTATTTTCACTTTCTCGACAATAACTAATTTTGTTCAAATAAACGTTTCACGTTTCTTTCCATCAGAAACAATTAACAGATGTCTTTTATCTACTGTATATTTTTCATTATTATTACGTTTATCAATAATCGTTGAATTTACGAATTATTTATCATTATTCATTAATCATTATTCACTGAATGTTCATCTCACTCACCCTAAAATTATTAGAAGCTACATACTAACATTATATATTAAAAGAACTTTCTTGATATTTACAGTAGCTTGTATAATATGGTTTCTTTCGTTAAAATACACACTACTTGGTGTAATCATTCCTTCGGTTTATTTTTAAATAAATTATACCGATTGTAAATTATATGTACAGACGGAGTTTGCATTTTAACGAGATGGACCTATCACGTTGAAAACTTTACACAATAAAATATGCAGTGTTTTATGAAATAGCCTGATATAGAAAACGTAATAATTAAAAATAAAAGAATAAGAAAATTTTAATGAAACTTACCATAAATTCGCCAACAGCTTGTGATATAAGTCGCGCTGGTCGGTGACGCAAACAGTCCACCATTCTGTATGTGCTGTTCGTGGGACATCCCATAAGAGCACCCAACTTCTTTGCCTTGTCGGGCGCACGTTCTGTTTGTACCCAGGAATCGAGTGCTACACCACTTATCGATATTCCTCCTTCACGATCGAAATAATAATTATGAATTAAAAATGATCACAAGACTCCTAAACAGATATTGTATATCAATATACTTTGGAAGAGCCCAGCACTAAGAGGTGACATATAATGGAAATGGACGCTTGCGCCTCCAGCACTCAGCCCAATAAGAGTAATATTTTTGGAATTTCCACCAAAATGTATGATATTCTCCGACACCCATAGTAGAGCCGTGCTCTGATCCTTCAGGCCCATGTTTCCGGGTACCACACGATCGCCAGTACTAAGGAAACCTTAAAGAAATTTTGTTATAACAAACGTATAGGGATATCAGATTATTTCAATAATCTACAGGATACAATGATGTCCCAGAAAATATTGCGTATGCAAAAGTTTTGTCCATCAAATTATAATACAAGAGAAATTGAGGGGTTCGGTGCAAAAACCAGCCAGCTCCACTTTTTTTTGGCGAAAACTGACTTTTCATATAGATGTAATACTGACGACATTCCGCATCGTTAGCCGTAAAAAACAGACAGTTCTGAAAATTAAATATTGATATAATGGAGTCTTTTAAGCGTAAAAACCAGTTAGCTCCGGAACTGTCCGGTTTTTCCGCGAATTCAGAAGTCTATCCCGCTATAAATCAGCCGATTCCTCCACTAATCGACAAACTAACAGAATAATAATTGATAAATAAGGAAAGACTAGAAACAGAGAGCTTCATTAAGAAAAAAAGAAGCTTGATTAAAACTGTCATTTACCAATCATATTTATTCATAAATGTATTAACAATAGGTACGATTTTTACATGTTTAACCATTTAACTCCGTCGGAAACTGGCTATAGGGCTGTACCGATGTACGGGCAACTCCGCCACAGAATGTGTGTAAACGACATTACAGACTCCTCTCGATTATTGTCCCGAACTCGGATCCGCGCCTGGACAATAATCGTATAGAACACTACAGACGATAATCGACAGGAGTCTAGTACCGCGATCGGTGTTACACAGAAAACTAAGAATAAAAATATTAAGAAAGTTTACGGCCAAAATGTAGTGAAAGTGATGAACTGCCAATATACATTGGTTTTCGTGATTCCGTAATGGTGACTTTAATTTTAACGCTTGTGTAGGCAACAAAAATAATCACGGTTATTGAGCAATCAGAATACTTCTATTCTGACAAATTAGATAAGCATAAATAATTTTACTTTCGTAGTTTTCCGAAACTGTTAGTTTTCCCTTCCAATAATATACCAAGTATATTAAAAGAAATTGTTGCAGAGAAAAAAATTACATTAATGATTAAACTTATTTCTCTGTTCTCAGACTTCTGAAATAACCTGATAGTAAAAACGGAAGAGCTGCATAACTGTAATGGTTGATCGCGAAGATCACGAGTTGTACTCTCACTTTCTGAGTCTCGCTTTGCCCCCCAAGGTCTTACAATGTTTTCTGGGACACCCTACTTCTAATTATTGCATTAATTGGTACTGTCGGCAGTAAACTCACCGAAAGGACCCAAGCGGTAGTTAGAAGTGATTAATATGACTTTACGATCCATCAATCGCGTCTCGTTCACTTCGTTAAAGGTAGAGAACTGGAAAGCACCGCCATGGATCCAGAATATCACTGGTAACGTTTTATTGTCAGTTCGAGACGGAACATAAATGTTTAGGTACAAGCAATCCTCGCAACCTGTGACTCTGTCTCCGTTCAGTGGTGACATCAGGAATTGTGTACAAATCGAACCCTTCTTCGTCGCGGGTAGTTCGTACAACCATTTTTTTACTGGTTTAGGTGGCTATCAATTAGAATGATAGTAGCAGTAATATAGCTGTATAGCACAGTACAATGTTTATTAGTACTTTCTTTTTTAAGTATCTAATAAAGTGACAATATAATTTATCTGAATATTTTTATCTGAATATCCAATATTTTAATTTGAAAATCGTTAGATATGAGATCAAGAATCTTGTAACTTATTCACGAGAATATCTCGATCCAGATGGATCTTGCTGCAATTAAAAATCATCTTTCTAAGATAAGTTCTAATCGTTAAAACTCTACAATTCAAAAAGATTGTGCAACAACTTATTGTTAGTATTTCTCCACCCTTAATAGAACTGGCGTAAGCATTGGACAACAACAATGTATTATTACGACAGCGTGTATGTTTAATTTTGTTAAAAATATATATTAAATTTTATTTAAAGGAACTAGTAAAACACTGCTTGTTATACCTTATAAGAAATTGCTATTGAACTTACCTTTGAATTCATTACAATAAATTCTTAATTTAACGAGAAACAAATAAAGTTGCATAAATATTGTAATTGTAAGATGGGCAGCATTTTTTCAACCGTTTTTGCAAGATAATGAAGATTATGACTTGGTAGAATTATAATGAATTATAGTGAACACTATTTAAAAAATTATATTTAAAATAAAGAATCATAACTAAATAGACTGCAGATTCTATGCATGATAGATGTAACTGAATAAAACATAATAATAATAGTAATATGTCTTTATTACAAATAAATTACAGCAGCAAAAATAATAAAAGAGTACTATTAGAGGAAATATAGAATAATTAGAACTCCTATAAACATCTGCAGTCTAAATACATATAACATTCTAGAGTTACGTGTATTTCATGCAACAATAAGCAAGGCAACAATCTATCAAACTTTATATTTATTTTGTAGGAAACCTAAAGATGGGTTACTTCTATAAGATTCACTCGCCTTTGAAAAACATTAAGAATTTGTTATTTAAACTATTTTATCACCAGGCCGCAAATTTTATGTTTTTATAGTATTCGCAAATGTATATGTAAAAACTATGTTATATAACATAGTTTTTTAAACACTAGAACTACCGACGATAAACGTGTCTATTTCCATTGGTCGATAAACATGACAAACTTTTGAAGTTCACAAATTGATAAATTAACTAATTCCTTCAATTTCATATCGTAATAACATTGCAAAGGGTTCAAGAAACTGTATTGTACCATTTTAATCATCGTTATAAAAGTATACTAACAAGTCATTTTGACTTGATTGGTAGTTCTAGTGTTTGCGGCCTGCGATTCTCATTTTAATTTCAACTAGTCCAAATCTAAAACAGAATTAAATTTCTGTATAATTCCCATTTGTATATAACAATCTAAAAAAAATCTGAATCTAAGATCCGCAGTGTTGGATTCATTTTAACACAACTGCCATAACATACCAATGTTGACCTAATAAAAAGCTGTTTTTTCGCTTAAGAATCTATTTCTATATAAATAGCGTTGATTTTTCGGGTATTGTATATTTTGTACACATACTTGGAACCGAAGTCTTCCAAGAGGTGGTTCCGCGTAAGGGATGCCCTCGTAGGCCTCGTACGTGCGGCCATGCTGGGACTTCCGGTACTCCCCACGAATCGCTCCGAAAGGTGTCTTAACTCTCGGCGCTTCCTGGTTCTGTAATGACAAGACCACGAGTCCCAGGAAAAGTGAAGCGAGTGACAACTTCATCGCACCCATCTCGGTACTAAACGCATCAGACAATAACCACTTGCTTTTTATTATCTTCCGAACAACAACTATGTTTCGACAAGCGTATGTAAAGATTTGCCGAACTCCCGAAGCAGCTATTAAAACAGAATCAAGGACGTTCGAGGGGAGATATTTCGTCTTCAGCACATTGTACCTACAACAAAGCTTACGGTCTTATCTCTTAATTTATCATTGAGTAAATTCCAATTAAATGCTAACTCGAACCGTGCAATGCGAAATGTACAAAATTTTTACGATTTTCCTATGCCGTTATTGTTATATAAGCTTGCCACAGGCGTAAATAGAAAAATTACAACTATGTACATTCGAGAAGATGGCAAAATCTGCCATTTTTATTGATTGTGTTGATAATAATTTCACCATCACACGATCCGGAAATAAACTACAGGTGATTGCAGTTTACACCTTAATAAACTTTGCACTTCCATCTTTAAAGCCTTATTGAATTAAAAATAAAGTAGTCGTTTAATTGATCTTTGTAAAACTACTTTAATTCATTGTATCATACTGAGTTGTGCATTCTGTAAATGCATTAAATCCACAATTCTAGTCATAAACAAATAATGATTGAATAATATTTTAACTAAATAACAATTATTAAGTTTAAACATGGTTGGGAATATATAACAAATTAATGTTAATTGTAAAAGGTTGTGAACCAACATAAATATAAAAGAAGGAAATGAAAACAATCTGTAACTCAGACTTACATTTCGTTTTAAAAGCGTTAGAAGTACTACTTTTGTATTTTTAAGTTTAGATTTTCCATACAATCTCGAAAAAGTAATTTTTAAATTTGCAATATTTTACTTGTATTTATGTATTACAAAGAAATAAACATTTTTTTATAGCAAAAGCACCGAAAAGATAATTACGGTGTTTAGTGTTTCTTCGAAGTTTGTGTATTCGTTTACACCGGATATTAAATATACCAATGAACGACAGACTGTTTTCTACTAACTTCAATCTTTATTTCCGAGAACATAAAAGACATACAATCCTCTACTAATTGATCAAGTATTAGGGCGGAAAGAGACATCAAATTTAAACTAAATTATTTGGTAATGAAACCTTTTATTAAAACAATATTATATATACCACACATTCCGTGACGAAAAATATGCGAGTTAAACGCGACACCGTATATGTATATCCATTCGTTTCCTTGCTGGACGATAGGATGGGGTACGCGCACATATGTGAGAATTACGAATGAGCAAGGGGTATTCCCAGTAGAGATAGCGTGAACTGCTACTTGTGAATCACTCGTGATTCGATCACTTCGTTCCCAATCACGGTGATTTTTCACAGTGATTCGTGATTTCTCGTGATCGTTTCTGATTGGTGGAGAAACCTAACAGTTCTTTACACGCGACACATAATCTATATATTTTATATTAACTACATCAAAACAAAAATTCAAGTTATATGTAATTTGATTATTTTTATGCAATCCTTTAAGAAATAGCAATTCTTTCTGAAATTGTCACATACTTCTAAATAGATGAAACTGTGCGTTCAGTGTGGTAAGAGACCCCGTATGTGTGAAAAAGTGGGGTCATAGCACCCCAGGCATGTACAAGCGACCCCGTGTGTTGAAGTGTAGGTCATAGAACCCCCGGTGGAGGCGCTAGAGACCCCGTAAGGTGAGAAGTGGGGTCACAGAACCCCCGGTGGAGGCGCCAGAGTCTACAGACGAGATATATGAATAGACCTAACATGCAATGTAATTTTCTGTCCCATGCTTCGAGGGCGTCAGAAGCCCCCTACCATTTTAGTGTCAATATCCGAGGTTACCGATAAAGCATCAATTCTGAGTATTATTAGCACAAATGAAGTGTTATATATTCCATTCATATTGCGTGTATCTATATGATTTGACGGGAATAAAAATATCCGATGCTTCGGTGTAAGGTTAAGGGATAAATATGACAGTCATGAAACATGAAACGGAAAAATATATATTTTTTCACTTAACTACAAGACAATTTAATCTAAATGCATCGTTAATGGACATTTTATTAATGTTACTTTTTACATGTTCTTGTTTTATTCGTTTTTATATCTTGCCTTACATTTGTATATTTGTAACAGATAAATTCAGAATAGATGTAGTTTCATAAATAGTTTATCAAATCTACATGTGGGAGAATATATACACCGCTTTTATTAACATTTAAATATTTATAATTTATATGGGAGTATGAATAGTTTTACTGCCTATTGTAAGAATCTTAATACGCACGAATAATTACTTTCTGGCAATTGGTAAATTTTTACATATGAATTTACTTACACGTTATTTACTTACAAAAATTTTATTTATTGCAAGTAATTAAATAATGAACGTATGTTAATATTCAGCTACGTGTCTCTCAAATTAAGTGAAATACAGAAGTTTTATTTTCTTGAAAATTAGTGTCAAAGAATGCAGCAACTGGTCAGATTAGTTTCGTAAATAAATCGAAACCCTGTATCGGCACATTGTTTTTTATGCTATCAAATATCACACGGAATCTTTTAGGAAGTAGTAAAATCTTTTACACAAATTCAATGAAATACTTTCAGGTACCCAGTTTAGGGCTATGAAATTAGAATGTTCAAGAAGAGGTAAAAAAGTTTCATATTTGCAATTATTTTGTGATACTGTAATAGAAATCGGTATCCTGTGAGAAAAATCGAATTTAACGATATGAAATGAATAATAAATAACGGTCTTAGGGATTTAACCACGTTAGCTTCCTCACTTTCTCGTGAGCCGTCGCGGAGGGTGGGCGCGCGTCTCGTACTCGTCCTTTCTTTTGTTACTAACCCATTGTTTGTTGCAGGCATTCGACAACCATCAATTTATTTACTGTGCATATTATTAATCTATTCACTGTGCATATTGTTGTGTCCCCTCTCTTGTTACTAATCCCTTGTATGTTACAGATGTTCGAGAACCATTGGCTTCGATATTTATCTTCTTATGTACTGTGATTTATTTACTGTGCATATTATGTATTCTATGTGTATTGTATAATGAGAAATATTTTTCCAAGCAGTTATTCCATCGAAAGAAGACATCGATCAACGTCTACATCCTCGAAGCGTTTACCACTGCGTTAAGTTACTGTAAGTTAAA